AGTGCTATTGTGCAAAGGATCGTAAGGACATCTCCCCCGGCCGTCTACTTCTTGGCCATTTGTACCATCCTAGAACACAAACGCATTATTATTAAGCAATTCTCGATTTTGTTGAAATGAACAAAAAAAAATTCAGTCCAAAAGTTACCGTCAGATTGTAGACTTTGCACATGGGATGAAAAGCGTTAGTACCGCAGACAAACAACTCTTCATTGTTTTTTTTAAAAGCTACTCTGATGTAATTTTGACAATCGTCCTATAAACCGAGATATCATATGATTACCATTTATATTTTGCTAGATCAAATTAGATCATCACTGCGAATACGATTAAAATAATTAGATAACAACTTAAGTAATATTTTACCTCAGATTTGCCTTTTAGCTGACACATTTGGTAATTGGCTTCTGACGAACTCCAATAGTACCTCTGGAAAAAAAACATAATTACACCATTAATGTTACACTTTAGAACACGATTTTCACATGTCGTGTAAACTAGAGCATTGTGGGTAACCATAGACAATTACACGGAAACAAATGCATTTGGGGCAAACTTCAATCACAATAACTCCATGACCTCCGTAAGTACCCATACATATAAATGTGTTTGTTTTTTAACGCAGTAACTACTGCGTACAAAAAACATTTTCTTCAACATCAATAACCAGACAAAAAACATTGTTACGGTAGCCATCATTGTGAATTTCACGCTCTGGGAGCTACTATCGTAATTGTTATTATTATTAATTAATTTTAGCTTATTTGTCGTGCTCGTGTAAAGTTTTCTAATTTCACGGAAAAGCTATTGCGCGTTGTAGAAAGTTAGGCACGTATGCACCTTTTTTAAAGTCAAACAAACGCAACTGTAATACAATTGCGTTTTTAAAATTTAATTAATTAACTCACAACATCAGCACACACGTAACGCCTCCCATTTTTAGCCTTTGACAAAACGATTAAGTAAACAAAATTATTACGCTCTGAAGCTCACTGACATTGCACAGTATCACTGTAATGGGATTTGAAATTTACACAATAAATTTCATGGTAGTGGGCACTTATTACTTTACATTAATATCAAAGACTTCTGCGTCGCCAACCTCCGGTTTTATTTCTGTACGTTAATGTGTTATAAAAAAAAACGTATTCCGGGGCGTTTTCAATATGGTTTACGACAATTATTTCTCACCCCTTTTGACATTATGCATAAGGCACATTCGTCTCGTACAAAAGCAAACCACATCCTCCCAAAAGGGATAAAAATAATCGGATGGATTTATGCATTCATAGTAATTGTGTTCGCGGTGAAATGTTTTTCGAGTTAAACGCCCAAAGATTTATTATAGGGAACCGCAACGAAACTCCTCTTTGGATGAATATTAAAGAGGCATAAATGACATATAATATTATTACAGTGTATGATTGACGCCTACTTTGAGTGTATAGAGACGACAAAAGCCATAGCATCAACATAAGTCGAAGATAAGTGTGCCCTTATTACTTCCTAATGNGTCGAAGATAAGTGTGCCCTTATTACTTCCTAATGTCGACTTAGCTGCCAACTTTTTAGACCCGCCTTCATTATATTAGGTTGCACGACACTTTCCTTTTAATAGACTCTTTTCGGTCAACACGCTGATACATTTAAAGTAATATCAGTAATTATATCACGAAACCTTACGTGCAACTGTACACTCGAGTTACACTTCCACCGCGATCTAGTTATATTTTTTATAATATCTAAACATTAAAAGTCCGTATACGATTATAATAGAACGCATCACACCATAGAATACATTACTCATTCAAAATAACCACTGGGAAATTTATCAACGTCTTTTTGAAAATACTAGTTTGTACTACTGGACCGTGAGCGAGACAGCTTCAGTTATTTATTGTTTTTTTTTTTTACTAATCTACTTTAGTTTCCTTCGAGAATGCGCTGCTGCTGTAGATGACACTTGTACAGCACGCGGTTACACGACCTAGGAATCCACGAAAAGACAAATTACACTTTAGGAAACCTACAACATTGTTACATCATTAATAGAAAGGAAGGCTTTTTTTGTCTATGCGTTGAGATTAATTTCTGAAATTAAAAAAACACATTACTGAATTTTTTTAAACTTTCTATTTTTTTTCAATCTTTTTTATTTTTCCACTTTTTGATCAAATAAGTAGCTCACTTGGCGTATTAAACTCACGAGAAAAATTTTTTCTCGTCGTTGGAGTATTTGACGTGTGAATTAAAAAATGAAAAGACATTGTTTTCCATTTTATGGATATAAAGCCGCTATCATAAAGTTGTTATTTGACCAAAAAGTGACTTGGCCGTTATTAAGTTATTTATTAAATCACCGGCACTAATATAAATAAAATTTTAAACGCATAGCTTTGCTTTCATTTTTTAAGAAAAACATAATTCGTTTTAAATACATTCGGACCACACGGATTAATATACTCGACCTATTTGACCATGTCAGTGTTAAAATTTTGGTTGTCCGACTAGAACGATATTATACGGTTTAAATAAAAAAAAAAAATGGTTATTTTTTTCAACCGCATTTCCAAGAATCTTAAGAGATTCGCACGATTCGGTCGAGAACGGCATTGGGTCGTGACAGACGGATAGATCCGATGACGAATCTCGAAGCTCTCCTCACAATGCAAATCATATTGTTTTCGCGGTCCCAAGAATATAACCTCATTAGGTAATGTAATGGCGTTTAACGAGAGCAACGATGGTCACGGAAACGACAACGACATCGGAATTGTGCAACTGCATTTTTTGTTAATTAGAAAGCGCCCAAGTTCCTGAAACTCGGCGCCCATAATATAATATAATCATTACATTACCAACCGAATTGGTTTAAACAACTATTTGCAGCTGCAACGGACGGTAATCAATCAAAAAATGTGTTGTCATACAAAACATTACTGCGGCACAATCGTTTTGCAGGTTTCTATTCTTCTCGTGACCCTTTTCCTATAACGTTCCCTATAAAACTATACGCTGTCCAGTCCAAAAGAAATTATACTTCCTCTACTCTACACACGCCGGATACATTACATTACCTGTCAGACGTATCAGTAATGCATTATCACAAAACTCCGAAATGACAAGTCCGTCGGCCAACAT